ATATTGTGATATCACAGTGAGTTTATATCTGTGTGAGTCAGTATTCCATATGTAGTGATCTCACAGTGAGTTTATAACTGTGTGTGCCAGAATTCCATGTATGGTGATGTCACTTTAAGTTTATAGCTGTGTGTGCCAGAATTCCATATATGGTGACGTCACATTAAGTTTATAGCTGTGTGTGCCAGAATTCCAAATATAGTGATATCACAGTGAGTTTATAGCTGTGTGTGCCAGAATTCCACGAATAGTGATATCACAGTGAGTTTGTAACTGTGTGTGCCAGAATTCCATATAGTGATATTACATTAAGTTTATAGCTGTGTGTGCCAGAATTCCATATATAGTGACGTCACAGTGAGTTTGTAGCTGTGTGCCAGAATTCCATATATAGTGATGTCACAGTGAGTTTGCAGCTGTGTGTGCTAAAATTCCATGTATAGAGATATTACAGTGAGTTTGTAGCTGTGTGCCAGTATTACATATATTGTGATATCACAGTTAGTTTATATCTGTGTCAGCCAGTATTCCATATGTAGTGATCTCACAGTGAGTTTGTAGCTGTGTGTGCCAGAATTTCATATATAGTGATAGCACAGTGAGTTTATAGCTGTGTGCCAGAATTCCATATATAGTGATATAACAGTGAGTTTGTAGCTGTGTGTGCCAGAATTCCATATATAGTGATGTCACAGTGAGTTTGCAGCTGTGTGTGCTAAAATTCCATATATAGCGATATTACAGTGAGTTTGTAGCTGTGTGCCAGTATTACATATATTGTGATATCACAGTTAGTTTATATCTGTGTGAGCCAGTATTCCATATGTAGTGATCTCACAGTGAGTTTGCAGCTGTGTGTGCAACAATTCCAAATATAGTGATAGCACAGTTAGTTTATAGCTGTGTGCCAGAATTCTATATATCGTGATATAACAGTGAGTTTGTAGCTGTGTGTGCCAGAATTCCATATATAGTGATGTCACAGTGAGTTTGTAGCTGTGTGTGCCTAAATTCCATATGTGGTGACATCCCATTAAGTTTGTGGCTGTGTATGCCAGAATTCCAAATATAGTGATATCACAATGAGTTTATAGCTGTGTGTGCCAGAATTCCATATAGTGATATCACAGTGAGTGTGTAGCTGTGCTCCAGTATTTCATGTATAATTATATCGCAATTAGTTTATACATATGTACCAGATTTCTATATATAATTATTTCATAGTGAGTTTATAGCTGTGTCTAAATTCCATATAGAGTGATATCACAGTGCGTTTATATCTGTGTGAGTCAGTATTCCATATGTAGTGATCTCACAGTGCGTTTATAGATGTGTGTGCCAGAATTCCATATATATTGACGTCATATTAAGTTTATAGCTGTAGGTGCCAGAATTCCATAAATAGTGATTTCACAGTAAGTTTGTAACTGTGTGTGTGCCAAAATTCCATATTGTCACGCCGCTCGCCGGGTCCGCTCCTGTCAGAGAGCGGCATGGGTTCCGGCGGACGCACATCGTTGCGGCAGCATTCCCACGTGGTGATGGGAATGCCGCCAATCACTCACCCATGGTGGTGGCTCCTCCTCTCTCAGGCCTGGTTTGTAATCATTAAAGTCTTGTGGCTTTTTACCTTTCTACGTTAAATCCGGCCATTCTAAGGCCTGGTAATACTTCTTAGGTATTTTCTTATTATCTACTTTAGTTCTGCGTGTTGGGCATCTCTAGTAATCCTGACACATGTAGTGATCTCACATTGAGTTTTTAGCTGTGTGTGCCAGAATTCCATATATGGTGACGTCACATTAAGTTTATAGCTGTGTGTGCCAGTATTCCAAATATAGTGATATCACAGTGAGTTTATAGCTGTGTGTGCCAGAATTCCATGAATAGTGATATCACAGTGAGTTTGTAACTGTGTGTGCCAGAATTCCATATAGTGATATTACAGTGAGTTTGTAACTGTGTGTGCCAGTATTCCATATATTGTGATATCACAGTGAGTTTATATCTGTGTGAGTCAGTATTCCATATGTAGTGATCTCACAGTGAGTTTATAACTGTGTGTGCCAGAATTCCATGTATGGTGACGTCACATTAAGTTTATAGCTGTGTGTGCCAGAATTCCATATATGGTGACGTCACATTAAGTTTATAGCTGTGTGTGCCAGAATTCCATGTATGGTGACATCACATTAAGTTTATAGCTGTGTGTGCCAGAATTCCATATATGGTGACATCACATTAAGTTTATAGCTGTGTGTGCCAGAATTCCAAATATAGTGATATCACAGTGAGTTTATAGCTGTGTGTGCCAGAATTCCATGAATAGTGATATCACAGTGAGTTTATAACTGTGTGTGCCAGAATTCCATATAGTGATATTACAGTGAGTTTGTAACTGTGTGTGCCAGTATTCCATATATTGTGATATCACAGTCAGTTTATATCTGTGTGAGTCAGTATTCCATATGTAGTGATCTCACAATGAGTTTATAACTGTGTGTGCCAGAATTCCATGTATGGTGACGTCACATTAAGTTTATAGCTGTGTGTGCCAGAATTCCATATATGGTGACGTCACATTAAGTTTATAGCTGTGTGTGCCAGAATTCCAAATATAGTGATATCACAGTGAGTTTATAGTTGTGTGTGCCAGAATTCCATGAATAGTGATATCACAGTGAGTTTGTAACTGTGTGTGCCAGAATTCCATATAGTGATATTACAGTGAGTTTGTAACTGTGTGTGCCAGTATTCCATATATTGTAATATCACAGTGAGTTTATATCTGTGTGAGTCAGTATTCCATATGTAGTGACCTCACAGTGAGTTTTTAACTGTGTGTGCCAGAATTCCATGTATAGTGATATCACAGCAAGTTTATAACTGTGTGCCAGAAATCCATATATAGTGATATCACAGTGAGTTTATAGCTGTGTGTCCGAATTATATATAGTGATATCACAGTGAGTTTATAGCTTTGTGCGCCAGAATTTCATGAATAGTGATATCACAGTGAGTTTGTAGCTGTGTGTGCCAGTATTCCATATATAGTGAAATCACATTGAGTTTATAGCTGTGTGTGCCTGAATCCCAAATATAGTGATATCACAGTGAGTTTGTAACTGTGTGCCAGAATTCCATATACAGTGATATCACAGTGAGTTTGTAGCTCTGTGTGCCAGTATTTCACATATAATGAGATCACAGTGAGTTTGTAGCTGTGTGTGCCAAATATTGTGATATCACTGTGAGTTTATAGCTTTGTGTGCCAGAATTCCATGAATAGTGATATCACAGTGAGTCTGTAACTGTGTGTGCCAGTATTCCATATATTGTGATATCACAGTTAGCTTATAGCTGTGTGCCAGTATTCCATATGTAGTGTTCTCCTAGTGAGTTTGTAGCTGTGTGTGCCAGAATTCTATATATAGTGATATCACAGTGAGTTTATAACTGTGTGTGCCATAATTCCATATATAGTGATATCACAATGAGTTTATAGCTGTGTGTGCCTGAATTCGATATATATTGCTGTAACTTTGAGTTTATAGATGTGTGCCATTTTTCCATATATAGTGATATCACTGTAACGTTGAGTTTTTAGTGGTGTGCCAGATTTCTAAATATAGTAAAGACAAAAACTGCAGTAGTAACCCAAATGTATACATAATACAGATTAAGGCACAGTGCAAACATAAAAGTACATTTTTACATTTTAGAATTTTATAAGGCTACTTATAATCTCAACAAACACACATGGGGATTCAGTTTCACCATATGGCCATTTTGTGTTGAGCCCACCACTATTTCATAGTAACCCTATCAGATACATAGATGCCCCACCTTGCTATTTGCAGGACCGAAAGGATATGCTGCTAATGTCTTGGTGCCAGATACCACAGGGCTCGTTCAGAGGTTTTTTTGGAGTCCATTCGGCGATGCATCGAAGCGGCACGAAGGGGACCTTCACAATATGAGGCAGTTGGTTTTAATGTTGTTGCTGATCATTGCATATATTTTAAGGTGGTATATGTTACTGGGGTCCGAATAATTTACATGTTACATATGTACCCAGGAATGTTGTTAGAGGCCTTGTAAGAGGAATCTGGGGCCGCAAGAGGAATCCAGAAAAATTCCAACTCTGAGTTTACCAATCTTCTGAAAATCTGGAATTGGAGGCGACCATTCTCTCTCTGTTTTACAGTTTTTAAGATTAAGATAGAAATGGCTCCCATCTACTAGATAGAACCCCATTTACTATAAATAACAAAGATATACAGTGAGGGGAAAAAATTATTTAATCCCCTGCTGATTTTAAACGTTTTCTCACTGACAAAGAAATGTTCAGTCTGTAATTTTAATGGTAGGTGTATTTTAACAGTAAGAAATAGAATAACAAAAACAAAATCCCCAAAAAACGTCATAAAAGCTATGAGTTCCTGTTATGTACAGTATGTATGACTGAAAATCTGTCTGTTTGTGTTTGCCTTGTTCTGTGTCAGCGACTACAACAAATCAATGACAGCGTCAGGTTACAGCAGCCCAGAGGCCCACATATTGGTCAGGATATGAGGAATAGCGTACCCAACAAGTTTATAAAAAACTAAACAAAATGTGGGCTCTACCTGCAGGATGCATGCTAGTTTTATTCACCCGGAAAAGTCGCGTGCAATTCTTTTTTATAGAAAATATCCCTGATTAAAGCAATCTGGATATTATATATTAGAAGGAAAATGTTTTGACAATGGTCTAAAGCAGGGATAGGCACCCTTCGGCACTCCAGATGTTGTGGACTTCATCCCCCATAATGCTCTTACACATATAATGCTGGCAAAGCATCATGGGAGGTGTAGTCCAAAACATCTGCAGTGTCGAAGGTTGCCTATGCCTGAAAAGCAACAGAAGTTCTTGCTAGTACAAACCATGGAAATGTGAGTTACAGCTGCCATGACTCCCACGTTAGAGATTTCACAGTTATTGTGTTACAAATATAAAGTGTCAGTTTCAGGTTGAAGTTTTGTTCTGTTTTTGTTTCTATTCTAAAGTTCTGTTTTGACAACATTTTCCTTTCTTTTTTTTTTTTTTATTAAACTCGCGTTACATCACATAAACCTGGGAATTCACACGTCCCCAAATCACCAAATCAAAGAGAGTTAAACAAACTCCTAGGATAACATTCTGTGTTTAGACAACCAGACAGCTTGGAGTTAGAATATAAAAATGTTTTGTAATTTTTTTTTAAATCCAAGTCATGTAAACTTCCTTCATTCAAAGGTAATTGTATATATTTATCAATTGTAATTTTAAAGGGACACTAGAGTCGCCAAAAGAACTATATCTTAATGAAACAATTTTGGTGTATAGATCATGCACCTGAGGTCTCACTGCTCAATTCTTCACCATTTAGAAGTTAAATCACTTTGTTTATGTAGCCCTAGTCACACCTCCCTGCATGTGACTTGCTCAGCCTTCCTAAACACATCCTATGAATTGAGATCTAATCTTTACACTTCCTTTATTGCAAATTATGTTTAATTTAGAATTTCTATTCTCCTGCTCTGTAAATAGCCTGCTAGGACCCTGCAGGAGCATCCTGTATGTAATTAAAGTTCCGTGTACAGAGCAGGAGATGAAAAACCTTTAAAGTAGGTAACCTCTTATTGAAAATGAAAACATTTTGTTTTAATGCAGGCTGTGGCAGTTATTGCCAGGGGAGTTGTGGCTAGGGCTGCATAAATGGAAACAAAAGTGATTAACCTCCTAAATTAGCAGTGAAATGAGCAGTGAGACTATAGGGACATGGTCTATACACATTAACAAAAGTTGTTTTTGTGAATATAGTGTCCCTTTAACAGGCAGTAACAGATGATCAAATGCTGCAGGTTTTCCTAACAGACACTAAACAAGAACTAAGTTTCATAAAATTTACAAACAAAACACAGACTATCCAGGAAATTGAGCTCAGCGAATAAGGATTCATCCCAATTTTAATAGCCACACAATTTATAAAAAAATTAATGATTTCCAGTGTTATCATTGTAGAAACAGACCTGTTATCGTAAGAAAATCCTGTTACCGTGAAGACAGTCCTGTTATCGTAAAATCAATCTGTTTACCATAAAGACACTCCTTTTATTGTAAAGACAATCCATTTACAGTAAAGACAGTCCTGTTATCGTAAAGACAAACTGTTTACTTTAAAGACAGTCCTGTTATCGTATAAACAATCCGTTTACCGTAAGGACAGTCCTGTTATTGTAAGAAAATCCTGTTACTGTGAAGAAAGTCCTGTTGTTGTAAAGACAATCCGTTACCGTGAATACAGTCTTGTTATTGTAAAGACAATCCGTTTATTGTAAAAACCTTCTAATGTAGTTTTTCCATGCATGGCTTTATACAAAGGTTAATATATTATATTTTCCAAACACCCGTGAGAGAGGTTTAACGTAGAGCCGAGTGCTTTCCCTACTGGGATTTTTGCTGCCAACCATAAGGGACAATGTTTGCGATCCCATTGGTTGCACAATATGGCAGGATCCAACATCACCATAAGATACAGTCTGACTCAACAGTCCTTTCACCCTCGGTTTTCAGTACTCTCATTGTCCATAAAATCTCTGTCCCCTACTGGTAGAGAGTGGTCATTACACCTCAGCTTCTAAACAGTTTAAGGTTTCGTTCATGGTCGCCGATGGAGGTGTCTGCTCCTCTGTTTTTGGAAGTTCACCGTTCCCATTTTCTTTAAATACTTTTGTCTCTACATTTTCCTTTTCCTCTTTCTTTTGAGTGAAGAGCAAATTTGTTTTGTACCTGGAGCAAAAAGCACAGAAATATAAAGAGAGCTGGAGTGGACGTACGCTATGACGTGATCAGTGACACCGCCAAAGTAAACTCCTCCCCATGGATCAGACTGCGCTAATCCCACCCAGATTAAATTACACTGACAGATCAAACTGCGCTAACCACAGTCACATTAATTTATACTAACAGATCAAACTGCTCTGATCACACCTAGATTAATGTACACTGATAGATCAAACTGCGCTAACCACAGTCACATTAATTTATACTAACAGATCAAACTGCTCTGATCACACCTAGATTAATGTACACTGATAGATCAAATTGTGCTAATAAAAAACCCATCCAGATTAATGTACACTGATAGATCAGACCACACTAACCACACCCGGTTTAATTGATACTTATAGATCAGACCACACTAATCACACCCAGACTGATTTACACTGAAAGATCAGACTGTGCTAATCACACCCAGATTCATTTATACTGATAGATCAGGCTGCACTAATCCCACACCGATTAATCAAAAAAACATGTCACGGCTTACATCATAGGACACACAGGTGAAATCCCCCCCTAGTGGTAAGATAAGTCAGGATGCCTGATAATGAATATGGCCATGCTACTGGGGTCATTCCCATTAATATAAAACAACAAAATTGAACTTTTCTGGAAAAGGTGAAGTAATTTTTCCCATGACAGCCAATAGGAGTTGGGAGTATTAAATCCCTTCAGTCGAGATATGGAGGGGAAGATGAGATATCCACAGGCTAAGCTTGGGAAGAGATACCCCTTACTTACCAGCACCCCTAGGCAGCCCACCCTGCCCTCTCCATGTAAACCTATAGTGAAGGAACCCAGGAGAGGTATGGGTCTAGAAATGGTTTCTGTACAGAATCAAATATTACGTTCAGTTTCATTCGTTTATTCCATACCCCTTTGTTTCAAGAGCATAATACAGATAAGCAAGATAGTGTAAAATATATATTTGCTTACTTTTTGATATAGCAAACGCCAAGTACGACGGCCACCGCAAAAAACAGCAGCGCAAGTGTTAGGAGGGCAGCTGGTAAGCCTGTATGAGAATAAAACAATGAATCAGGTCCAACCAATGTTAGAGGGACACTTTAGTCACCAAAACATCTTTCATTTAGTTAAGCCGTTATAGTATATAGCGCATGTCTCTGAAGTTTCACTGCTCAATTCACTGCAATTTAGAAGTTAAATCACTTCTCTTGTTTCTGTTTATGCAGTCCTAGCCACACCTTCCCTGGCTGTGACTGACACAGACTGCATGAAAAAAAATGGTTTCACTTTCTTTCAGACGTAACTTACTTAAAAATGTTTTTCCCTCCTGCTATGTGAATTGAATTTTAATCACATAAATACAGGAGGCTCCTTCAGTGTCTAGCAAGCTATTAACAGAGCAGGAGATTTAGTTAATCATAATTTGCAATAAAGGAAGTGTAAACATTAGTTGACTCTTTACAGGAAGTGTTTAGGAAATTTGTGCAAGTCACATGCAGGGAGGTGTGACTAGGGCTGCATAAACAAAGTGATTTAACTCCTAAATGGCAAAGAATTGAACAGTGAAACTGCAGGGGCATGAGTTATACACCAAAACTGCTTGATTAAGCTAAACTTGTTTTAGTGATTATAATGTCCCTTTTTAATAATAGTGATAATAAAAATCACTACCAGAAATACATCAATCATTTTAGTAACTGTTATTTCAAATAGAAGGCAAGTAGAGAATTAGAGTTCTATTCAGTAAAATTACATTTACTATGATTATAACTGAGCGTTAGGATCCTGGTCGCTTACTTCCAAAGCTGTTTCCGTTATGCGTTGAAGCTTGTTTTCCTTGTTTGTTGTCTGTTTCTGTTTCAGGGATTGTCGAAGTCGATAACATTTCAGTGGTGGCTGTTTCTGTATCCTCTATATTATAAATAGTCGATGTTGTTTGTAAATGATGTAACATCACGGTTGTGCGAGGAATTTCTGTGTTTGAAGTCTCGTTAGGTAAAACCTCGCTGGCCGTGGAGGCTTGAGGTTTTGTTGTGGGGACGTTCGTGGTGGGAAACTCTGGTTTACAGGAATTAACCCACATATCTGCGTTAAAGAAAAACGAAGCAAATATGAATATCAGAGAAAACGGTATTGCTCCATCAGTGACAAAAGGGGTGTATTTACTAAACACCGAATTATAATGAATTGCAAACTAAAGCTGTGAGAGTAGCTGAGTGTGTGCTATTTTTAATGTGCATGTTGGCTCTGTGTAATGTGTATGGCCTGTGTTATGTGTATATTGGGTGAGTGTTATGTGTGTTGGTTTGATGTATGTGATCCATGTGCCATCATCTCTTTGTTATCACAGCCTTTAAAATCTGTTAATCATCTTGGCCCCAAATACATTACATTGTGATGCATCAGTGGGGTTTATTCACTCATATCATGCCCCTGCCGCTCCGCACAGTGCTCTACTGAGCAGAGGGAAAAGCTCTCCCATGCTACATGGTGTATTGCGTAAGGGAGTTCACAGCCATTCTATGTGTAAATCACAGACAGTAAGGCCAGACTGAGACAAAAATCCCCCCCAGCTTTTAAAGGTTGAGCAGTCAAATAGGAGGGGCGTGATATGGCACCACCCCAAAGTGGGCATGTCAGTACAGTGCCCCGTCCAGGACAGCCCATGCGCAGAGCCCAGGGAAAGAGCTCTCGCACAAAGGAAATGCAATGTTTAGTGCTTCATTTCCTGTGTGTTTGCTAGATACTAGTTTCTGGTGTCCACACGTGGGATGTCAGAGGAATACTGTGATATTGTGTATCTTGGTAATCGAATGCTAAAACTGGATACAAAGTGAGCATCTATTAAACAGACAAATGCTTCAGGAGTCTTTTGTGTTTAAATCTTTTTTTTTAATGGGAGACTCACCTGATGAGTTGAAACAATATGCGTGAAATGGCTTGCTGATTTCCACACTCCACGTGAGAACACCCGTCTGGTTTTTGCCACATTTCTCATTATGTTGGATGCGTGAAATCACTGCGATTTGATCGCTAACCCATCCATAACTGCAGGAAATACAACATGATTCGGATTTAATCTAGACAGTTCTGGGCACGGGTAATCAAACATCTCTAGTATACGTCAACAAGGAGTCTATCAAGCTATATGAGTCTGGGATTCACCAAAACCAGAATGGCCAATGTTGCATAGGCCAGTCTTCTTCAGAGTGATATTAACCATTCGTATAGTGGTCTTCAGAGTAATATTAACCATGCAAAGAGTGGTCTTTAGAGTGATATTAACCATGCATAGAGTGGTCTTTCAAGTGATATTAACCATGCATAGAGTGGTCTTTCAAGTGATATTAACCATGCATAGAGTGGTCTTTAGATTGATGTTAACCATGCATAGAGTGGTCTTCAGAGTGATATTAACCGTGCATAGAGTGGTCTTTAGTGTGATAGTAACCATGCATAGAGTGGTCTTTAGAGTGATATTAACCATGCATAGAGTGGTCTTTAGTGTGATATTAACCATTCGTATAGTGGTCTTCAGAGTAATATTAGCCATGCAAAGAGTGGTCTTTAGAGTGATATTAACCATGCATAGAGTGGTCTTCAGTGTGATATTAACCATGCATAGAGTGGTCTTTAGAGTGATATTAACCATGCATAGAGTGGTCTTTCAATTGATGTTAACCATGCATAGAGTGGTCTTCAGAGTGATATTAACCGTGCATAGAGTGGTCTTTAGTGTGATATTAACCATGCATAGAGTGGTCTTTAGAGTGATATTAACCATGCATAGAGTGGTCTTTAGAGTGATATTAACCGTGCATAGAGTGGTCTTTAGAGTGATATTAACCATGCATAGAGTGGTCTTTAAATTGATGTTAACCATGCATAGAGTGGTCTTCAGAGTGATATTAACCGTGCATAGAGTGGTCTTTAGTGTGATATTAACCATGCATAGAGTGGTCTTTAGAGTGATATTAACCATGCATAGAGTGGTCTTTAGAGTAATATTAACAATGCATAGAGTGGTCTTCAGAGTTATATTAACCATTCATAGAGTGGTCTTTAGATTGATATTAACCGTGCATAGAGTGGTCTTTAGAGTGATATTAACCATGCATAGAGTGGTCTTCAGAGTAATATTAACCATTCATAGAGTGGTCTTTAGTGTGATATTAACCATGCATAGAGTGGTCTTTAGATTGATATTAACCATGCATAGAGTGGTCTTCAGAGTGATATTAACCGTGCATAGTGTGGTCTTCAGAGTGATATTAACCATGCATAGAGTGGTCTTCAGAGTTATATTAACCATTCATAGAGTGGTCTTTAGTGTGATATTAACCGTGCATAGAGTGATCTTCAGAGTGATATTAACCATGCATAGAGTGGTCTTTAGAGTGAAATTAACCATGCATAGAGTTGTCTTTAGTGTGATATTAACCGTTCATAGAGTGGTCTTTAGAGTGATATTAACCATGCATACAGTGGTCTTCAGAGTGATATTAACCGTGCATAGAGTGGTCTTCAGAGTGATATTAACCGTGCATAGGTCAAGCAGACAGTGGTCTTTATGATGCAGTGATTAATGGATTATGTAGTTGGCCAGTGGTCTTTTGGGTGATATGACCACGATATGATCTGTCTGACCAGTAGTCTTTTAGGTGAAATGAACATTTATAGAAATGAAAATAAATTTTGAATGTGATCAAAGTGTTCTATTTGCATTTATTGTAGTGTATATTAAAACAGTTTTATTAATGATTTTTCGAGTTAACAACATATATAAGGCAAGTGAAATCAGGGATATATGGGATAGATAACACTGTCTGGTCATAACAAAACATAACAGAGGACATTAGGATAGAAAAGAAGAAGAGAGGGATTTGGGTCAAAAACAGGGACTGTCCTTCCTATAGGTACACTTGGGAGGTATGCAAACATTACCTGCATGTTTCGAATCCGTTTCTGTTCGCTTTCTGCACCTGCACTTTGCTGGCCAGGGTTAATCCAAGTTCCTGACACACGCTTACTGCTGTTGTATAGTTAAATTTATATTTATTATCTTTTGGCACAGCCACTAGTATCCCCGCAAGTCTGCATTTCACCGGATTAAGATCTGTAAGAGAAAAGGAGAGTGCTATAGCATCATTGAGCGCTTATATAAGCATGTAGCATGACCAGAGTACACTGACTGCGCAACTGGGTGTGTTCCGCAGCGCCTTACAATATTATAAAGGGAGAATGGTAACGATCAATGAGACAATTACAAACTGTTAAACGAACAGTAGGTTGGTGAAGACACTGCTCAAACAAGCTTACACTTCTTAGATTAGTTCCGGGTGATTAATTTGTCCTGTGTGTGATCGCTTAGCTTATTTAAATGAAAAAAAAAAGCAATTTTCCCACCTTTTCCAGTCTGATAGTAATATTGAACCATTTCATACATCATAATTCACCTTTGCTTTGTAGATAATTAAAGGGAAACTCCCTATAGAACCATACCCCCCCTCCCCTACTCTCTCCTCTCCCCCACATGGTGTAGAAGGAGTTAAAAACCCCTTCTGTCACTTACCTGATTTCAGTGCCGATGTCCGCTCGGTGCTAGTTCAGGCTCTACCTCCGCTTCTCCCCCTCCATCAACCAGCCGGGGGACCTAATGCACATGCGAGGCGCTCGCAATACTTGCATTAAGACATCCCCCATAGAAGGAAACCATTACATAATGCTTTCCTATGGGGAGTTGACTGACTCTTGATGTTCTCATGCATAGCATGAGGACAGCCAGTATAAGACGACCAAAAATCGCTTAACGACCCAGAAGTCTCTCTAGTGGCTGTCTGATAGACAGCCACTAGAGGTGGAGTTAAGCCTGCAAGGTAATTATTGCAGTTTATCAAAAACTGCAATAATTAGAACTGCAGTGTTAAGGGACCTGGGACACTTCACCCAGACCACTTCAATGAGCTGAAGTAGTCTGGGTGCCTATAGTGTACCTTTATTTTAAAACATTAATTTGGGATGCTGTTTTAGAATTTCATGTTAGAAACTTTAACTTTCCTGAATATATACTAACAGAAGGGAAGATGCCATGGGTACAGAGTGTATGCTCCTGGTAAAACCTAGAATGACTTCCTCAGCTTCCACCAGGAAATGGATTGGAACAGGCAGGAAGTAGACACAGGAAGTGTGATATTCACATTCATGTCATTAGAAGCACTATGTCACACAAATGCTTCTCATTCTACCTGTGCTGTGTGTCTCTCATTTTTTGAAATGAAGATAAGCCCGAGCTACAGAAGTGAAAGGCCAGCAAAACAATTCTGTCATGTGTCCTTAAGGGGTCAGTGAATTGCTAATGCATTTCAGTCAGTCACATCCTAGTTGCAAAATCCTGATGATGGCACTAAGGGAGTTGCAACCCAAGTGGTTCCAGCCTAATTTTTTTTTATTTTTTTTTTAAATATTTTTTACATTTTTAGTAAGATGGTACATGTAGAGCATACTCGGCATCTCCATTTTTATGAAACTAGTAGAAGTTTATTAATTGCTGGAAAAAAAACAAAGCACAGAACACTGAGTAAAGTGTAATAGATATTGTGTCAAAACAACAAAATAGTCTGTGTGGATACAATGCAAGCTATATAAATAACAGTATTATAAATAGTCAGAGGAAATAAAATAAATTACTCTTGATTCTAAATATTACTTAAAATTAAATATTATTTTTACATATTAGATAAATAAAGCAAACTGAATAGTGGAGTACGTCCATGCAAGTCTTGCAAATGTTTTCTCTTACAAGGTAATTCACGAAAATACAAAACGAATCTACCTCAGATAGAAAAATAATCAGTGACAATTTGGGGCATTCGGAACTTCAAAAGTAAGAATTCAGACATTAAAAGTTTTTTAGTCTACACAGGATTGTACTTCCATCGGATATCACCCAACCCTGAAAATCCAGATATTCAGAATTTGTTGGTGGTCAGTAATGAATTAAGTCAAACACGCTTAAAGAACACTCTGTAAACCATAACAACTTCATTGGAATTAAATTGTTATGGAGCAAGGATATGGCTGGCACTGGGTTACCCCGTTAGTAAGCTCAAAAAGTTCAGTATCCAGCGCCCTGATTGCTCTGCGCCCCTGCTGTTCCGCTGCCCAGAGTCTTCAAATAGCAAACCTCTTTTTCTCAAGCCGTTTTGTGAATGGGAAGCTACTGATTGTCTTAGAGCATCGGCTAGTGCTTTCAGCCAATCAGTGGTGCCCCTTGCCCCTGTCCAAGGCTTCCCCTTTGAATATTCTGAGCAGTGAAAGAACAGGAGGGCAGAGTGATCGGACGCTGAATACTGGCCGTTGGAGTAAGACTGTCCATTAATTAAGTTGTTATGGTGCACAGAGTGTTCCTTTAACCCCTTAAGGACCAAACTTCTGGAATAAAAGGGAATTATGACATGTCACACATGTCATGTGTCCTTAAGGGGTTAAAGAACAGTTATATAAATAATTAGAAGTTATCATAAACCACAAATGATTGACACCTTCTTCTCTCTTTCTCTCTCTCAAATTGATAGAAATGGTGGTGAGAGGTTTAATTATAACTGCCCACTTGCTCCATCATTAGACCTCACACAACTGCCCATAGTAAAAAAATGGGTGTTACCCTACACCTTAGTTAATATGGGATCTGTGGGACCGTAATTTGCTTTATTTTAGTAATTTAATTTTGTTTTGAACTATTTGCCTGCTGGTGATTTCTGTAGAGTGCCTGGAAATAAAAATGTGAATTTATTTTGTGAATGTTCCTTCTGTTAGAACAAATCAAAATGAATGGGTCAGAAATTCAGGGTTTGAGAACCAGGATCATTACTTTGTATGACAGGGGTGCCCAAAAGGTACATCCCCAGATGTTGTAAAACTACAACCCCCATCATGCTTTGCATGCCTTTAGAATGACAAAGCATTGTGGAAGTTGTAGTTTTGAAACTTCCACAATGGGCACCTCTGTTGTACAGGAATCGACCCTGTGAATCTCTCATTATACACAAGTGTCGAGTGAGATGTGCCAATCACTGAATATTTTAGGCCAGGCACAGGCAACCTTCGGCACTGCAGATGTTTTGGACTACACCTCCCATGGTGCTTTGCCAGCATTATGGGTGTAAGAGCATTATGGGGGATGTAGTCCACAACATCTGGAGTGCAGAAGGTTGCCTACCCCTGTCCTAGGCTTTGTCTGTAGTAAATATCCAAATAGCAAATATGGGAAAATATGGTGAATCGTTACTGAATCCTGCTAAGCTAGACTGTGTTCACACTTTGGTGAATTACAGTAATAAAATTTTTACAGAATTAATATCCCCCACTTTCTGTGCCCGTCTTTCCATTCTCTAAAGACATGAACTGGCCTCTGCTGCTCATTTTATTCGTTGCGGGTGAGGAGCATTGACGGGGTAACCCAGTTAAATGGAGTAGACAGAAGTAAGATGTTTCATATCAGACAGTCACACTGGTAGTTTTAGATTCAAATTGATGGGATGGTTTGTTATCATTTCTATAAATGCTTCCTTGTGAGTATGTGGGTCTGGATATTTTATGCTTTGAAAGGTTTACAGCAGAAATGAATATGTTAATTGTTGACTGTAAGAGGTGGAGCAGATTTATTGACCAAGATTATATCTACTACCCTTACTAATACACTATGTGATATTATGCTTTCTTGATTATCCTTTACTGCTTCCACTGGAAGGCTGTTCCAGGTATCTACTACCCTTTCTCTATCACTGGTAACCTTTGCTGCTCCCACTGCAAGGTTATTCCAGGTATCTACTACCATTTCTTTTTCACTGTTAGCCTTTACTGCTTCGACTGGAAGGCTATTCCAGGTATCTACTACCCTTTCTATATCACTGTTAGCCATTACTGCTCCCACTGGAAGGCTATTCCTTGTATCTACTACCCTTTCTATATCACTGGTAACCTTTACTGCATCCACTGCAAGAATATGCCAGGTACCTTTACTGCATCCACTGGAAGGCTATTCTTTGTATTTACTACCCTTTCTATATCACTGATGGCCATTACCACTTCCACCTCAAGACTTTTCCTTGTATCTACTGCCCTTTCTATATCACTGTTAGCCTTTACTGCTCCCACTGGAAGGCTATTCCTTGTATCTACTACCCTTTCTATATCACTGGTAGCCTTTACTGCTTCCACTGGATGGCTATTCCAGGTATCTACTACCCTTTCTATATCACTGTTTGTCTTTACTGCTCCCACTGGAAGACTATTCCAGGTATCTACTACCCTTTCTATATCACTGGTAGCCTTTACTGCTCCCACTGGATGGCTATTCCAGGTATCTACTACCCTTTCTATATCACTGTTTGTCTTTACTCTGGTAATTGGTACACATACAGTATGTACTATTCTTTCTGCAATTCCTGTATTTCTTTCTGTGAACTGCCATACTTGCCCATAATGCCATAAAGCAGATATATATGTAAATGCGCGAAGGCAGCTCTGCTCACTATCTGATTTCCCTTTCTACAATTCAGTTGTTGTCTCTCAGTCTCCCTGCAGTTTTCTAGCAGCTTTTTACATCAATACATACTTTACTTCTCTAGACATGCACAGCCTTGTCATTCTTTTGAGATTCTTCAGCATGGCACAATAAGTAACAAAATCTCCCACCGATCTAGATATACTCTTATAATACTACTTTTCAAGGCCCCCTAAATAAATCTGCCGCAGATTTTGTAAAAATGTACATTTTGTAAAATTACTTTTCATACAACTCAATCGCAACACTTTCTTACTTTATCCAAAAGTCCAGCATCTTCCAAACTAAATCATCCACGGGTTTAGAAAGAACTGAGCAAGCAAATCAAAGCTTCTACTTATGTTATTAAATCATTTTAATTAGCTTTGCTGAAGATTGGTAATAGAAATGAGCTCAGGAGGCAGCCAAACACAGGAAAATAAAATGAAACAACCTCTTAATTAAAATTAGAGAACACAAGTGCAGTTGCCATAGCTTCTGATTAATTCATATATTTAATAATAGATCCATATCGAAACCTATCCACCTACACTTTTATAAAATGATTTAACAATAGCTCCCTCTCAAACCCATCCACCTAGCTCCTATAAAATGGTTTAATAATGCATGCCTTCCATACCCTGCGATCCTTCACTATTAGGTTTTCTAAGATCATCTAATCTTTTCTTATTAACCCAGCTCTAAACTATTTCTGGAAAACCTTATATAAACCTGTATATTATGCATTTCCGCAAAATTTCTCGCCTTCATTTAAATCTAGAGAAAATCGTACAGATATTCATTGAAAATTGAATTTTGAATTGATATGATTGTCTTGCAGGAGACCTGCGGTGGCTTGATCTCTCTCAACCTTTTGATTTATAAAAGCCAGATCTATTGTCAAATAGAAATCCATACCTTGTATATCAAATGAACATTGAGCCACGGAAATCCACAGTAATACTGACAGCAGAACAGGGGAAAACCCAGGCTTTGACGACATCTTGGTTCAATATAAAAACTAGTGTCCGCACGTTGGAATTTTGAGGACCAAATAACTGCTAATCCGTGCGCTAAGGCGGACGTTAGACCGTCTTTGGTCAGACTCTGTCTTTACTCCGTTAACAATGAAACTTTAGATCTAGGTTTGGAGCTGATAAACTATGCTACGGTCATGGTGATGAAAGGACAATGGGTGGAAACCTGTGACGTTCCAAGGGACCCTCTTTTTCCTAATTCGTGTGCTGTAGAGCTGTTTGGAAAGATAGGACAGTGCTGATTCAGGCCCCTTGCAGTCAAACTGAGGAAATAAGATAAGTTTGTTTAGGAACGAACTTATAAACAGTTGGCAAAATCTCAAGTTCATCTTGACAACCCTGGAACAATGTGTGAATCGCTCGTATTCTGGTTTCATTGCAGATTGAACATTTTTTACTAGTCATTTATTTAGCTAAGTAAATGGGTAGTTATAAAAATCACTATTTTATCTGCACTCTAACATTAAACAAATGCTTGTTTCTATGCATTTCACAATCTAGTTTTAGATAATTTTTGGAGTTTTCCTCTCTTAGAAAAACGGTCCTCTCTGCCTAGGGTTGTTATTTGCAAATGGATCTTCACACAGATAAGGGATACAAATTTGGAGGGATAATCCTTTTAGAGATTTCAATACTTATGCCTCTCTTACCCACCTGTCCTATGTATAGAAACAGAATGTATCAGAGAGCTCCATGCTACCTGGATCCTGCCAGGTGCCCACGCTACCTCTGCTATTCTGAAGCTAGAGAGCCCAAATGTCAGTTTTGTGCAAGATGGGAAGTCATTGATTGGCTGAGAGCATCCAGGAGCGGAGGCAGAGTGTGGGCACCTGGCAGAATCCAGGGGGTGTAAAACTCTGTGAGGCAGTCACGCTTCCCGTTTTGGGAGTCTAGAAATAGGACAGGTGGGTAAGAGCATCAAAAAGATTTAAATCTCAGCAGGGCCCAGGTAATTGTCAAACCATGATAAAATGGTTTGACAGTTTATATTGGGACAGCACCAGCGTACAACTGGTACCATAATCACTCCAGCAGGTTGTGGTAGTTACCATTTTGATATCATACCATTTTGATAAAGCCTTTTAAGGTGAAACGCGTTAATGTTTTTAAATTGCGTATTTTAAAGCATTAAAAGTTTTTTGGTCACTACATTTTTTTTTTAACCAATTCTCTTTTTATTGTATTTTATTTGCACTTTTTTACTCTCCTGGCATTTTTTCTATTTTATCCTGAGTTAATAGAGCAGTACCTTCTGCTCTATACTTGTAAGTACATTTTACATATTTTATTATTATTCCATTATATACTGAGAGCACTATTGCTGTTTTTTATATATATCCTGAAGCACTGCCAAATCAGACTGGATTGATGGACGTACCTCTCCACTATATGCGTTAGCTGGGATCATACCGTTGCACGCCCTAGAGCTCTTCTAAATGTGAGTGTATTACCTTCATTTTATTAACCTTTTACTGGATCCTGATGATATTACACCATCGGCTATTTTGTCGTTAACCCTTTCTCTCCACATATACCGATATTTTAACTATCCGGACGGATCAACTCCTGAGGACTGCCAACTTCCCCCCCTATCCTGGTATATAGAGAGACTTTTTATGTGACTTTTATTTACCATTTTATCCTCCTGAGGATTACCCCTTTTATCCAATTTTATTATTCACTTGGAACTTTCCACTCCTTTCTGTTCCAATTTTTAATATAGGCTTATTTGTCGTATCTCCATTTATACCATTTGGTCTGGTTGTTTGTTATTATAGATTACTGTTATTAGCCTTGGGAGCAGCCCTTACCCCCTTTGCATCTTTCTACCTTGTTCAAAAGGGTCTTGAGGGATTCCCTTTTTGGGTTGCTGCCCTTTAGTCTGTTATCTAGCGCTGACTCTTCCCCCCTGTTCTTGTGGTAGTTATGGTGACTGACGTGCCCTTTTAAACTCACAGTAACTTGTGTATCACATCCTTTCACTGCATTGCTGCAACATAATTTGTTGCTTTTTCCCTTCTCAGGAAGCGAGAATGTTAAAAAGCTAAATTACGTCCCATGTGTAATATGTCAGCAACAGAGTGATATATCTCCGTTACCATGAGCCGCTGTGCTAGGTAGTCTAATATGATCCCTTCTGAGCTCATTGAGAGGAGAAACTACATTCACAAAGTTTGCATAATTACATCTTTCATCGAGAGCATCTTGTCATCCCTGATAATCAATCACATCTCCCTCGTACATTATATAAACAGAAGCTTGCTCCTACATGCAGTTTTTAACTCACATTACCCTCAGTCACCTCATCCACATTCTATGACCAGAAAATTGCACGTTTTAGACCAAACCGTCAAACAGGAAAAGAATGTGTTGGTTTTTTATTTGAATAGGTTGTCCAAACATTTGGAATTATTATTATTTATATAGCGCCAACAAATTTCGCAACGCTGTACTTCCATGTGAATAGCCAGTTTAGTTAATAAACTAATGGCAAATTAATTTACTAATTCAGACTTGCAGCATATGAATACTACAGACTACAGTTCAGGACTATTCACTCACGTCCCATTACGATATACGGTAGATATAGCACTTCAACCGGTACCTATATTATATATATATATATATACACACACACACACACACACACACACACAACATTTCGAATGGACAGAGGAGGGACTTTAACTTCAGGGGTGAGGCTGTTCTGACTTACTAATAACAATTTATAGAAGTAAAATATAATTTAATTTAAGAACAATGTATCTTATTTACACAGACTTATTTCTTAACACATTTATTGTAGTTTAAAGACACATTACTGGGAGTATTATTGCTGTGGAGCTCTGTTATACACTCAGACACATCAACAATATGGAGCTCCTAGAAAAGAGGGACATTAGGATGAAAAGAGGAACATTAGTAAGAAAAGAGGGACAGAGGGATTTGGGCCCAAAATAGGGACTGTCCCACCTAAATAGGGACACTTGGGAGGTATTCTACAAACAGTTCCTAATTCAAAGTGTAGTAAATGGGTTGTTATAAAAATCACTATTTTATCTGCACTCTAACATTAAACAAATGCTTGTTTCTATGCATTTCGCAATCTAGTTTTAGATAATTTTTGGAGTTTTCCTCTCTTAGAAAAACGGGTCCTCTCTAGCCTAGGGTTGTTATTTGCAAATGGATCTTCACACAGATAAGGGATACAATTTTGGAGGGATAATCCTTTTAGAGATTTCAATACTTATGCCTCTCTTACCCACCTGTCCTATGTATAGAAACAGAAAGTATCAGAGAGCTCCACGCTACCTGTATCCCGCCAGGTGCCCACTCTACATCTGCTATTCTCAAGCTAGAGAGCCCAAATGTCAGTTTTGTGCAAGATGGGAAGTCATTGATTGACTGAGAGCATCCAGGAGCGGAGGTAGAGTGTGGGCACCTGGCAGGATCCAAGGGGTGTAAAACTCTGTGAGGCAGTCACGCTTCCCGTTTTGGGAGTCTAGAAATAGGACAGGTGGGTAAGAGCATCAAAAAGATTTAAATCTCAGCAGGGCCCAGGTAATTGTCAAACCATGATAAAATGGTTTGACAGTTTATATTGGGACAGCACCAGCGTACAACTGGTACTATAATCACTCCAGCAGGTTGTGGTAGTTACCATTTTGATATCATACCATTTTGATAAAGCCTTTTAAGGTGAAACGCGTTAATGTTTTTAAATTGCGTATTTTAAAGCATTAAAAGTTTTTTGGTCACTACATTTTTTTTTTACCAATTCTCTTTTTATTGTATTTTATTTGCACTTTTTTACTCTCCTGGCATTTTTTCTATTTTATCCTGAGTTAATAGAGCAGTACCTTCTGCTCTATACTTGTAAGTACATTTTACATATTTTATTATTATTCCATTATATACTGAGAGCACTATTGCTGTTTTTTATATATATCCTGGAGCACTGCCAAACCAGACTGGATTGACGGACGTACCTCTCCACTATATGCGTTAGCTGGGATCATACCGTGGCACGCCCTAGAGCTCTTCTAAATGTGAGTGTATTACCTTCATTTTATTAACCTTTTACTGGATCCTGATGATATTACACCATCGGCTATTTTGTCGTTAACCCTTTCTCTCCACATATACCGATATTTTAACTATCCGGACGGATCAACTCCTGAGGACTGCCAACTTCCCCCCCTATCCTGGTATATAGAGAGACTTTTTATGTGACTTTTATTTACCATTTTATCCTCCTGAGGATTACCCCTTTTATCCAATTTTATTATTCACTTGGAACTTTCCACTCCTTTCTGTTCCAATTTTTAATATAGGCCTATTTGTCGTATCTCCATTTAGACCATTTGGTCTGGTTGTTTGTTATTATAGATTACTGTTATTAGCCTTGAGCGCAGCCCTTACCCCCTTTGCATCTTTCTACCTTGTTCAAAAGGGTCTTGAGGGATTCCCTTTTTGGGTTGCTGCCCTTTAGTCTGTTATCTAGCGCTGACTCTTCCCCCCTGTTCTTGTGGTAGTTATGGTGACTGACGTGCCCTTTTAAACTCACAGTAACTTGTGTATCACATCCTTTCACTGCATTGCTGCAACATAATTTGTTGCTTTTTCCCTTCTCAGGAAGCGAGAATGTTAAAAAGCTAAATTACGTCCCATGTGTAATATGTCAGCAACAGAGTGATATATCTCCGTTACCATGAGCCGCTGTGCTAGGTAGTCTAATATGATCCCTTCTGAGCTCATTGAGAGGAGAAACTACATTCACAAAGTTTGCATAATTACATCTTTCATCGAGAGCATCTTGTCATCCCTGATAATCAATCACACCTCCCTCGTACATTATATAAACAGAAGCTTGCTCCTACATGCAGTTTTTAACTCAGATCACCCACAGTCACCTCATCCACATTCTATGACCAGAAAATTGCACGTTTTAGACCAAACCGTCAAACAGGAAAAGAATGTGTTGGTTTTCCATTTGAATATGTTGTCCAAACATTTGGAATTATTATTATTATTTATATAGCGCCATGTGAATAGCCAGTTTAGCTAATAAACTAATGGCAAATTAATTTACTAATTAAGACTTGCAGCATATGAATCCTACAGACTACAGTTCAGGACTATTCACTCGTCCCATTACGATATACGGTAGATATAGCACTTCAACCAGTACCTATATTATATATATGTATATACACACACACACACAACATTTTGCACGGACAGAGGATGGACTTTAACTTTAGGGGT